TCTCATCAAGAAGGCCGAAACCGACAAAATATCAAGAGACAACTTTTAATCGGCATTAAACTGGTTACACTATAACGCTAACAAGAAAAAAAGTCAGTGGCGTACATGCTTTTTTTAGAAAAATATTCCAGTGATAACCCATATGCACGTCCCTGGTGAATATGGCGACACTTTTTTAGCCTTAAAATATGTCGCATTTATAGTAACTTTTACCCTCAAAATTTCATTCAAACCGCTAAAGCTCTTGGAAAGAAAAGTATAATAAATCGAAAAAATATTAAGACTTTAACACCCTGTAGCTAGGAAACAAAGCAGATTCGGCCCTATGTTGATATGAAAAAAAAATCTTATTTTTACGTGATGAATCTCCCCACGAGAGATGGCACATGTTTTTTAAAACACCCTGTATATTGTGACCAACGGATCTGTAGCTACGGGGTATCGGCAGGGGAACGCAGTTGTAAACAAAACACGCCCAATTTCATTCATAAAATAGGCATGGGCGTACGGTGTTATATGAAAATAATGTGTATCATAAATATAATACTCAGATTAATAATTTTTTTCAAAAAACTTTATGCTGTTTGAATCGTTACTGTTGGAGTTAGCAGATAAACACTAAAAAGCTTTTTATTAAAGATCCCTTAAATATTTTGAATCATTTTATTATTGTGTTGTTAATATAATAGAAGAAATAATTACAGCTGGGGGTTGGAACCTTTGGTGTTACACAGCAAAATAAAACACTAAATCAGTACAATACACCAAAACACTTTAATTTTACACTGGACCACGTTTCGCTAACCATGTCTGCCATCAGCAGATGATCAAGACTGAGTCTTGAGGTATATTTATTTATATATCTGTACTAACTATATTTTTTTCTATAATACATAATTTTAGATATAACTATTTCCAGCAAAAAAAAATCTTGAAAATAGTTAACTTTGGAAGCGCAAACAAAACATAATTTTACTCATCAGTAGATCTGATATTGCCTATTACACCAGATATGGTATCGCTCCGCAGCAGTTTTTAAAGGTTAGGTCATTGTATACCCATATGTTTCATCCAAATAGATAATACTTGGCTATATTTTCGAATTTCGCGTATATATTTATATCCCTCTCTGTAATATAATGGGCCGCTCCATTAATATTTATCTGTTATTTTGACATTTACGCCAAAAAAAATCATTTGATTTTAATAACTCCCTAAGCGTTTCCCTGCAAAAGGAAAATTCGATTCTTCCTGCAATTTTTGCAAAAGCTTTCTAATTGTGAGGACGAGTTTGAATTCGAGATAAAATCTATTTATCAAATTCCTGACCACTTCGAAAAAGTCGTCGAGCTTTTCGACAGCAGTCTCACGTGGTCGTTTCTTTCCAGAGCTGGATATCATTTTATCGGGGTTAGTTTTAAGCCTTTTTTTAACTTCTGTGTTTTTAACAAGTTTACGTTTAAGCAGCAACTTAAGCGAACTCTCTGTAGCTTCTTCATCGCAAACCCTATTATGAACACAAGGAAATAAACCAAATGATATTTCTTCCACGTTATTATTAACTTACTTATATAAATTAGCTATTATTTCTCTTGTCTGACTATGTAGTGTCTTACCCTTAACAAATTTATTCATTTTAAAACACAAATATACGATCAAACTTGATATTAATAATTAAAAACTACGAACGAAAAACATTATAACAAGATAACAAAACAATAAAACACAACTGAACTATCAAATATACAAAAAATATAGGAATAAAGTTTAGGATAACCGGTATAAAATAATGAAATAAAGTAATAATGATCAAAAAAATGACACCGCCACTGGATATTTCAATAGTATTCAATATTCCTACTCTTTTCAGAAGAGATCGTGAAGTTGGGCATAAAGCAAGCGAATAGGAAAGGCGTAAAAGACATGGCAACCGCGTGGTAACAAATCCTGTGACGTACTCTCGCCAATCATGTTCAATGAATAGGCGGCCATGCGCGGCGATGCCGGTTTGCCAATGATATCGTTGAAAAATCTTCAACTTTCATAATAAGCAGATTATACAGAATGAAAGAAATAACTTATTAAATAAAAAATATCGAACAATATGAACTACGTTAAAATTCCTTAGTAATATACGTCAGAAAATAACTAACACATTATATATAATAAAAATATATTAAATTTATAGTTCATGTCTGGCAATTTTGCAATTTTATAGATAAACGTGGCAATATCGATTTTTTTTTCTCGCATTCCTTCCGTAGCTACAGATCCGCTGGTCAAACAGTACAGCGTATTAGACTCTTAAGATAACAGATACATTTTCAATGTTGAAATGCGTACTAAAAGTTAAAATATGTACTTCGCATTAAATCTGCTGCATTTCACTGACTAAAAATTGGCGCCGGGAGGCACGTATAGCCGCCCATTCTAAAATATGTTAATAAAAAGCAATTTGTTATATATACAATTGCAAATATTATCCCTAATCTTAAATTGAAAACCGCGTTTCGCTAGCTACTGTAATTTTGGAGTTATGATTTTTTCAAATTTTTAACCCCCTCCCATACCCCCTTACCAACCCCCACCCCCACCAAAACCTAATAGCCAGATTCTCGGGTGCCACAGTATTTTTGTGCCAAATTTGGTTAAAATCGGTTTAGCGGTTTTTGAGTTAGCGTGTTACAGACGGACAGACAGACACCATGGAAATATTATGTATTTAAGTCATGTATGACCCAAATAATTCATTTTGAATGAAATTAAAAAACTTTTTGCCGATCTTAATATAGCCTACCCTACCTGTTGGTATGGTCGGCTAAAAAAGAGTGATAGCGACGCTTTCTTTGCCCTACCGATGTAATAGCAGAGCAGTACCGTCGGTCGCGGCTTGAGGAACTACCGGCCGCGGTACTGTGTAGCAAGTGGCCGGCCTTGGCATGCCGACCCGCTTTGGTACTCTCCAATGCGAATAGTTCTGAAGAACGGTCGTTAACCTGCGTTTACTATACGCCGCACAGTGGGCCAGGAAGTAACTAGGAGTTTGACTAATTCAATTTCTTTTTGTATGTCAACAACTTTTATCTAAATATGTATTAAAAAATGAATAAATACAATTTTTACGAACATCGGACTTTAATAAACTATAATTGTTGCTATACAGGGTACTCCGTAAATTCCCTATACAGGATATCACTTTATTAACAAAACAAAGGCGCGAATCCTCACTTAATTTTAAAATGAAGATGTAGTATAACATTTTTTCGAGTTTCTCCTCTTTTTTGGTATACAGAGTGTCAATGATAACTAATTAAATGGATTTGTATATAATCAGGAATATGTAATAGAGAGTTTTTTTTTCTTGAAGATGAGGCAAGGTGCTAAAAATAAATAAAAAAAGTTGTATTTAATTTGCCTCTGTCTCCAAAAAAAATTAAGAATAAAGAGAAAAATCAGTGGCGTACATCTTTATCTTTATGAATTTTTATAGGCCTGCAATAAACAGTTGACGAAGGTCGTGGATTTTGCCATAAAAGAATTTTTTTGTTTTTTAAATCTTTCGAGTACAATGCTAAGGGAACCAAACAGGACAAAAATAAATTACTATCAATAAAATCACCCTCCTGAAAACCTTGTTTATACTCTTTTTGTCCTGAACTGCCGTCACATCCCCACTTACTTAGCAAAGTCAAATTGTTGTTAGTTTGATAAAATTATCGGAAGAAAGCTCAAGTACTAAAAATAATCTGGATACAGTGTGATCTAGTAATGACTGTAAAGTAACACAAACAGTGTTCTGTAGCAGTGATATCTGAGGGGTAACATAATTGTTTGGCGTTTCTTATTGTATTATAAGGTGGATATAAATTTAAATTGTTTTCTTTCGCATTATTTCGTAACAATTGATACTGTCGCTTAGAAAGATTTGTATCTATTATTAGGGACAGCGCTTTCTCTGGAGACATTTGAAAACTTGTTTTTTGGTTATTATTTGAATCATTTGATATTTTCAAATGCTTGACTGACTCATTTGATGAGTTTGCTACTTGAGCCAATAAACTTGCAGCTGCTGGCTTACCGGAAGTTCTTAAATCGATTTCTGTAGCAAACACAAGCTCACTGGTTTCAAATTCTCGGAGTTTTTTTGTTCTTTTATATTTTCCAGCATAACTTAAATTGTCAAATTTTACTTTCTGTGGACCAACATTAGACATTCTTGGTTTGTTGCAAGGTATGGTTACACTTGTTTCCAGCCATGCTGCGTATCTCACCAAAAATCTATTTTTATTTCGGTTAGCAATCTGCCATTTTTTTCGAAATTGACAAAAATAATTATTTGCCAAAGACCCTATAAGTTTTTGGTTTTGATTTTTACAGCTTTCACACAGACTATTATATAAAGTTTCTTTTATCAATAGTTTTTGATGGCAGACTTCATATAAAAAACTTATAGGAACTGAATGATTTTTGAACTCTGAAAAAAAGCTACTTTTTAGTTCAGTTGTTACTTGAAAACACCAAAATAAAATTACGCAAAAAGTAAGACCCGGATGTGAAATTTTATTTTCATTTGAACTTCGCCACCATCTTAGTTTTCAAGGTGACAGGCAAATAAATACTTCAACTCAAAAGCCCTGATCAATTGAATGTAAAAAGAGATTTGTTGCATTAAAAATTGATCATAGAGTTAAAAAAAATTAACGAAAAACTTGTGTTTCGATTTTTGTGTCACTCGGTTTAAATTATTTAAAAATATTTTTTTTAAAATGGAGCAGCTGGGAGCAAGATTTTGTTTTCCAGAAAATATTATAAGATGTTTCTTAAATACACAGTAGTAACGGTGGCCCTAAAGGATGCTAAAATTTTAACATATCGCTTAACAAAGTTAAAAAAACCTTTATTTGGCAATTTTTTTTGGTGTTACTTAAAATGTAGAATTTCTTTAGGATAGTTGTGTTTCAGAGTAACTTTATCAGCATAAAATTAATATGAAAACTTACCTTCCCTGGCTTCTTGCATGTTTACTTTTTTTAAAAAAACAATTACTTTGAAAAACAGCTCCAGTTTTAACAGGCAAAATTCTATAAATTAATCAACACGAAATGTCGCGTCAACAAACTTAAAATTATTTTTGACACTCGCACCATGACAACGGAGCGAGTTCATTTGTTTGTTTTCTGATGTTTCATGGTATAGTTAATCAGTCTGCGATAAGAAAGAAAAAATTTGGACGAAATAGGTTCTGGGTCCATTTCAATCGCTAAGGCTATCCCTGGCCCACTGTGCGTCGGAGTATACAGGTACAGAACACTGACGATTTTATAAAATACATCTTTCAAACTCCTCCACGCCCTCTCAATATTTTGGATATGACACCTGAAACAAGATATATGATAAAAACTCTTATATAAGGTAAATAAACCAACTCATCGTAGTGGTGCCATATGGTCCATAGAATAAGAACCATTTAAACCTGTGTCGAGGTGCCTGGTGGCATGGCTAGAGGTACAGCTCTCGTCTACTAATTCAAAGGTTGTGGATTCGAATCCTACAGCCGGCATTTTATCAGCCGACTATCTTTTATTAAAATAAAAATAGTTTGGGCACCTAGGTCGACTCAGCCTTAAATGAGTACCTGGGATTCACAATACTGATGTAATAATAGGCGGTTGAAGCGTAGTGCTAGCCACATTAACTTCCTAATATACCGAACGGCTCTAGTTTGGCAAGCTGTACCCTGCTACTCCCAAGGTGTTAAACGCTATATACGGGAGCTATTATTATTACAAAACCTGTGTCGATATAATTGTCGGAGAACCTTCCTGCAGGCACCCATGGTTCTTGATTTCTGGGGAGTTAAAGTTCCGGGAATGATTTATCGTACCGCAGCCGTAGAATACACGCACGATAACCTCGTCACTCGTCTGAACAGACACTGTCATTATCAATGTATTGTTGCATTATTGGCAATAGTGTATTAGCCGATCGGTTTTGAACTACCATTGTAAAGAGTTTCTTGGTGGTTCGGCTGAATCCACCAAATACCCAACAATGTTGCCAAGCCATTTGACGGCCTCTGTTGTAGTTCCCTTTGGTTAAATGGGTCTCATCTACTTCAACAATGTCATCGGCACCATCAATTTACAAAAATTGCACCAAGCCACTTTTATCGCGATATCACGGTAATATTAATATCATGCCACAGCTGTGTCAAGGGCTACTCCGGTTTCATTGACAATGATGCTAAGCTAACTGGCGTTTTTAGCTGTCACGAAAGCATTAAACGTGTTATGATATCAGCTCTAACATCATTAAACCAAATTCTTTCTCTAGAAATGTGGCATTTGTTGCGCTTATGGTATGTTTAGCAGGACAACGAAACCTCCATCCAACGCTACGGGATCGATTTAATAATCTCTAAATTCGCGTTTGTTGGCTTTCCTTTTATCATCGTTATGTCCCAAATACAGATGGACACTATATGTTATTATACACTATTATTATATTTATGGAATCATTATGTTATCAGCTCTAACATCATTAAATGTGCCATTTGTTGCGCTTATGGTATGTTTAGCAGGACAACGAAACCTGCATCCAACGCTACGGGATCGATCTAATAATCTCTAAATTCGGCCTTTGTTGGCTTCCCTTTCATCATCGTTATGTCCCAAATAAAGATGGACGTTATATTTATGAAATCGTTATGATATCTGCTCTAACATCATTGAGCCGAGTTCTTTCTCTAGAAATGTGCCATTTGTTGCGCTTATAGTATGTTTAGCAGGACAACGAAATCTCCATCCAACGCTACGGGATCGATCAATTATCCACTCATCTGTCCATTTATGACTTGATGTTTTGAATAACACAAAATGCTCCAACAATTTGATTCTACGTTTATTCTACGTTTGTAGCAGGACAACGAAACCTCCATCCAACGCTGCGGGATCGATCTAATAATCTATAAATTCGCCTTTGTTGGCTTCCCTTTCATCATCGTTATGTCCTAAATAAAGATGGACGTTATATTTATGAAATCGTTATGATATCTGCTCTAACATCATTGAGCCGAGTTCTTTCTCTAGAAATGTGCCATTTGTTGCACTTATAGTATGTTTAGCAGGACAACGAAACCTCCATCCAACGCTACGGGATCGATCAATTATCCACTCATCTGTCCATTTATGACTTGATGTTTTGAATAACACCAAAATGCTCCAACAATTGGATTCTACGTTTGTAGCAGGACAACGAAACCTCCATCCAACGCTGCGGGATCGATCTAATAATCTCTAAATTCGGCCTTTGTTGGCTTCCCTTTCATCATCGTTATGTCCTAAATAAAGATGGACGTTATATTTATGAAATCGTTATGATATCTGCTCTAACATCATTGAGCCGAGTTCTTCTCTAGAAATGTGCCATTTGTTGCGCTTATAGTATGTTTAGCAGGACAACGAAACCTCCACCCAACGCTACAGGAGCGATCAATTATCCACTCATCTGTCCATTTATGACTTGATGTTTTGAATAACACCAAAATGCTCCAACAATTTGATTCTACGTTTGTAGCAGGACAACGAAACCTCCATCCAACGCTGCGGGATCGATCTAATAAACTATAAATTCGGCCTTTGTTGGCTTCCCTTTCATCATCGTTTTGTCCTAAATAAAGATGGACGTTATATTTATGAAATCGTTATGATATCTGCTCTAACATCATTGAGCCGAGTTCTTTCTCTAGAAATGTGCCATTTGTTGCGCTTATAGTATGTTTAGCAGGACAACGAAACCTCCACCCAACGCTACGGGAGCGATCAATTATCCACTCATCTGTCCATTTATGACTTGATGTTTTGAATAACACCAAAATGCTCCAACAATTTGATTCTACGTTTGTAGCAGGACAACGAAACCTCCATCCAACGCTGCGGGATCGATCTAATAAACTATAAATTCGGCCTTTGTTGGCTTCCCTTTCATCATCGTTTTGTCCTAAATAAAGATGGACGTTATATTTATGAAATCGTTATGATATCTGCTCTAACATCATTGAGCCGAGTTCTTTCTCTAGAAATGTGCCATTTGTTGCGCTTATAGTATGTTTAGCAGGACAACGAAACCTCCATCCAACGCTACGGGATCGATCAATTATCCACTCATCTGTCCATTTATGACTTGATGTTTTGAATGACACAAAATGCTCCAACAATTGGATTCTACGTTTGTAGCAGGACAACGAAACCTCCATCCAACGCTGCGGGATCGATCTAATAATCTCTAAATTCGGCCTTTGTTGGCTTCCCTTTCATCATCGTTATGTCCTAAATAAAGATGGACGTTATATTTATGAAATCGTTATGATATCTGCTCTAACATCATTGAGCCGAGTTCTTTCTCTAGAAATGTGCCATTTGTTGCGCTTATAGTATGTTTAGCAGGACAACGAAACCTCCACCCAACGCTACGGGAGCGATCAATTATCCACTCATCTGTCCATTTATGACTTGATGTTTTGAATGACACAAAATGCTCCAACAATTGGATTCTACGTTTGTAGCAGGACAACGAAACCTCCATCCAACGCTGCGGGATCGATCTAATAATCTCTAAATTCGGCCTTTGTTGGCTTCCCTTTCATCATCGTTATGTTCTAAATAAAGATGGACGTTATATTTATGAAATCGTTATGATATCTGCTCTAACATCATTGAGCCGAGTTCTTTCTCTAGAAATGTGCCATTTGTTGCGCTTATAGTATGTTTAGCAGGACAACGAAACCTCCACCCAACGCTACGGGAGCGATCAATTATCCACTCATCTGTCCATTTATGACTTGATGTTTTGAATAACACCAAAATGCTCCAACAATTTGATTCTACGTTTGTAGCAGGACAACGAAACCTCCATCCAACGCTGCGGGATCGATCTAATAAACTATAAATTCGGCCTTTGTTGGCTTCCCTTTCATCATCGTTTTGTCCTAAATAAAGATGGACGTTATATTTATGAAATCGTTATGATATCTGCTCTAACATCATTGAGCCGAGTTCTTTCTCTAGAAATGTGCCATTTGTTGCGCTTATAGTATGTTTAGCAGGACAACGAAACCTCCACCCAACGCTACGGGAGCGATCAATTATCCACTCATCTGTCCATTTATGACTTGATGTTTTGAATAACACCAAAATGCTCCAACAATTTGATTCTACGTTTGTAGCAGGACAACGAAACCTCCATCCAACGCTGCGGGATCGATCTAATAAACTATAAATTCGGCCTTTGTTGGCTTCCCTTTCATCATCGTTTTGTCCTAAATAAAGATGGACGTTATATTTATGAAATCGTTATGATATCTGCTCTAACATCACATTGAGCCGAGTTCTTTCTCTAGAAATGTGCCATTTGTTGCGCTTATAGTATGTTTAGCAGGACAACGAAACCTCCATCCAACGCTACGGGATCGATCAATTATCCACTCATCTGTCCATTTATGACTTGATGTTTTGAATGACACAAAATGCTCCAACAATTGGATTCTACGTTTGTAGCAGGACAACGAAACCTCCATCCAACGCTGCGGGATCGATCTAATAATCTCTAAATTCGGCCTTTGTTGGCTTCCCTTTCATCATCGTTATGTCCTAAATAAAGATGGACGTTATATTTATGAAATCGTTATGATATCTGCTCTAACATCATTGAGCCGAGTTCTTTCTCTAGAAATGTGCCATTTGTTGCGCTTATAGTATGTTTAGCAGGACAACGAAACCTCCACCCAACGCTACGGGAGCGATCAATTATCCACTCATCTGTCCATTTATGACTTGATGTTTTGAATAACACCAAAATGCTCCAACAATTTGATTCTACGTTTGTAGCAGGACAACGAAACCTCCATCCAACGCTGCGGGATCGATCTAATAAACTATAAATTCGGCCTTTGTTGGCTTCCCTTTCATCATCGTTTTGTCCTAAATAAAGATGGACGTTATATTTATGAAATCGTTATGATA